AAAGAAGGATACAGTAGATCTGCTCATCTGGCACAGATGTAGCTGGATGCTCTCTCCACCTACAGCACCTCAGCCCAAACTGGGGCCTTTACCAAGTCTGCAGAGACACTGACCAGCTTGGTTACTGCAGACCTGCCTCCCCAACCATCTTCAACTAGGTCACGATCAGCACAGAATTTTTAATCTACTGTATCCTTCTTTAACATTGATTTTACTCAAGATAAATACCAGACAAGTCAGGTAAGTTATTTTTAAACTGTGAGAACCAGATGTTTTCAATTGTTTCTAAACACCTCTGAACTCACCTATTTCCCTGGGTATTAGATACTTACAGCACTGTCAAATTCAATGCTCGTAATTCCTGCATTACTGCCGGAGAGGGAGCCCTTGAACTCACACTTGTCTGGATAAAAAGATTGAGGAAAGACAGGCAGTTAAGATAAAATGGGGCACTCAAAACACTGGAAACCAACTACATCATCAAAACCAGCAGCATTCCCGCACCATTACAGAATCAACCAGCAGGCCAGACAGAATACAAGGCCAAAATACACTGCAGTCAGTTTCTAAGACCAAGGGAGGTATAAGTGGATGCAGAGCCGAGCATTCTGCATGTGTGTTTAGCTGTTCTTTTAGAGAAATTTAGTGTACACATGTCATGTCAACTGACTTATAGTTTAATTTAGTTATTTCTCAGTAAAATTTTCTAGTTTACGGAAATACATCTTTGGGTTTATCTGTCTTTGTGCCAACATAACTATCACTTCAGTAGAACTAGACCATCAACTTTTCAGAATCCAGATGTGATAACTCTCATGAAGGTCTGAAAAGAGTTTTTGTTTCAGTTATGTGTAACTGGCTAGTCATTAGAATGCCAATTATGCTAGTTTGTAATTTCTTACTCAGTCCTTCTAAATAATAACAACATGAATACTGGTTTGGAGCTGTCAAATACATTTAGGGCTGGGATTATTAACCTGCTCCATGAACAAAACCTTGAAACTTATTTGCAAAATAAAGCACATTTAATGCCTCTTACTGAATCCTAACTTTCATTAGATTTTCAAGAGTCAAAAAAGGCCAACATCCACTGATTAAGGTCCTTACTTAGATTATACCTTTAGAGGCAAAATTATTACTGCAAATTCTAAGAAATGTTTCTCTGACTTACGCCCAAGATATTTGTCTATTTGTTTGGCAGCCAAAATACAAGAAATGATAGATAAATGCTATTCCACACGAGAGATTGATCTCAAAAGACCAAACACCTCATTAAAGTTCTGTTATCTAGAAGGCACCAGAGGAGGTTATGTCACTGCTGTTTATAGAAGTGATTCTGAACAGAGCCTCTGCTTTTGATAGAATGAGCGAGGACGGGAATTCCTACTGAGTGGAAAGTGCCATCCGTCTGATATTTTAAAAGTGTGAAAACAGGACACCCCAAATTATTTCATAAACTGCCTCTTGGACTTGGTCTCTTCCAAGGTTCAGTAAATATTAGCCAAGAGGGTCAAAACTGTGGACCGAGCAGGTTGTTTGTGGAATAAAGGCCCTATAATTAGTTAGGACATGACTGCTATTTGTTCCCCAAAACTATAAAAAACGGGGCCAAACATTCTATGTTATTTCTATAGACCTAGTAGAATTTTATTTTATTGACACAAATTACATCCTGGTACATGTTATGTTAATATTAATTTCGACTGGTATTTACTTCCTCTTTAGCAGCAAAAAGGAGAAGGTTAATTTCTCTCTCTCTCTTTTTTAAACATATCTTTATTGATTTCAGAGACAGGAAAGGAGGAGGAGAGAGACAGAAACATCAATGATGAGAGTCATTGATCGGCTGCCTAGTCCACAACCCGGGCATGTGCCCTGACCGGGAATCGAACCCCGCTCTCCTGGATCCTAGGTCGATGCTCAACCACTGAGCCACACCCGGCCGGGCGATTTCTCTAATTTTTTTATAGATGTTTTTACTCATCAAGAAGTAAAAAGAGTTCTGCTTAGATTTTTAAAAACTACACTTTATAAAGTTTCTATTCTTATGATATAGCTTTATTATTACCTTGTAAGTTTCAGCAATTATCATTCATAAGGTGTTTTGGGGTAAAACAGCACAAATTCTAACAGGCTTCACCTAGCTGTAACTGCCAGGGATTTAACTACTGAGTCACTTTCCTGAAAATCAAACGTCAGGGCAGACACATTTGGTGCTTTACTGACTACCTGTTCTAACCAACTCGACTGACAGACTGCTCTTGTCTAATCACAGAGCAGTTGGCTACAGGGCTCTCCAGCAGCTCTAGCTTAAGGGAGGCTGTCGTGGAGAAAACAAGGGACTTGAAGTCAGAAGACCCAGCTCAACTCGTAGGTCCCACCACTCCTTTGCCACATAAATCATCTTTTAGCCATGTGAATCAACCATGTAAATTTGGTAGTGCTTCCTGAGTTTTCAAATACGGATGACACCCACCTTTCTAACTACACAGGGCTATTGTGAGAATCAGGAAATAATAGAGGCGCACTTAAACTACAAACTGCTGGACAGTGAGCATGTATGGGTTGTAACCATGGAAACAACAAAGTGGTTCCTACAAAAACCTTCAGCCTATTTTTTGACCTTGCTTTATTAAAAGTACAGGTATATGTAACTGCATCTCAGAATGTCGAAACTGGGCTATGCCCTGGCTTCAGAATTCTAAGTGATGGTTTCATTAACTCGTTTCCTGGTTCCATGCCATCCCATTTCTGAGGTCATTTCTGAAACACCGTTGGATCAAAGACCGAGTCTTGACCTTAGGGCCCTTGTCTGATAAGCTGTTAAGTGCGTTTTTCCGAGGCCATGGCCACTGGCATTATTAAATACATGAACCAGTTTGATAGGTAGTTTAATTAGAGTCCGCGACTGTTTGATTTCTAGTTTTCCTTCTAAAACCTGTGCTATCTTGGAAGATGTTCTGATCAGTATATATCTGAAAAACAAACACACACAGCCACAGACATATCCATGACTCCACAGCCCTATCTAGTCACTATGCGGACACTCAGAGCAGACACCCCTCGGTACAAAGCTTAGCTGAGACAGTAACGATGCTGGGGCCAGGCTCTTCACATGGAACGGTGCCATTTGAGAAAAAGAACAACTGAAAGATTGCCTGAAACTGAGTCAGCCAGGTGTCGCCACCATAGCTCCCCGGAAACTCCGGGACCTCACCTCCAGACACTTCCCAGAGCTTCACTCTCCGATCCATGCCTCCAGTGGCCAGCAGCCGGGACCCGGGGCTAAACTGCACAGCATTAACTTCCCCGTCGTGAGCATCCTGTAAGACAAATGCCCTTTCAGACCCAATCACTGCCATTCCCAGGAAAGAGCCCAATATGAGCGAGCCCTCTGGATGTCTCATCAAAGGTCAAACCTAAAGACGGGATCCCGTCTTAAACTAACTGGGGTTCCTAGCGCAGGCTCTCCTAGGATTCTATCGTCATTTTATTCTTATAGTCAACAGTTCCATTTATTTAAATACAGTGCAACCTTCTTGAAAAGGATTCAAAATCCATGTAAACTAACTGCTTAGGATTGTTTCTGCATTAATTTTATGTCTCCTAAGGATAAGAAATTTCAATCTATACTCTTATATGATCTTAACAGCTTTAAAGTAAGACTGGGATTGCCTGCCCCCCTTTGGTCTGGATTGCAGGGATATACATCACACTATGTAGCTAATGCAGCATGACTTCTCACAAAAAAGAAAGCTCCTATGGCTTTCCCAACACAAGGACATGCTAATATGGACTCCCAATATAGCAGACACCAGCGCTACTGAGACACAGCAGAATAAGGGAAATCAAGTAAAAAGCACCCAGTCCTAGAATGAGAAGAGAGAATGCTGGGAGCTGTCATTATAATCTCCTCTCTTTAAGACCATGGATACAGACGAAAACTAATATATTACTGGATGTCAACTGTAATCGAAACATAAAATTAAAAAATAATTTAAAAAAGGACCATGGATACTGAAATATTTATGGATGACATAAAATATCTGGGACTCTGCTCCAACAAGAATATGCAGGGGACCTGGCCGGTGTTGCTCAGTGGCTGAGCGTCGACCCATGAACCAAGAGGTCACTGGTTCTATTCCGATCAGGGCATATGCCTGGGATGTGCACCCAATTCCTAGTAGGAGACATGCAGGAGGCAGTCAATCGATGATGTTTTTCTTTCATCAATGTTTCTCTCTCTCTATCCCTCTCCCTTCCTCTCCAAAGAATAAAAAAATAAAAAAGACTGCAGGTGAGAGAAAGTAAGATGGGCAAATGTGGCTAACTGAAGCTGCCAGACAGGATAATGGTACCCCGAAGATCTCTTCCTCTCCACTTCTGTTTGAAAATTTTCATAATAAAAAGGAGAAAAAAGAAAAGAAAAAGACCATGGAAAACGTGAATTATAAATATTAGATCATTAAGCAGGTCATCAATTATTTTCCCAAAAGGTTGCTTTGAGAAGACAAAATCTGATCTTCACATTTGCTTGAGAATGAAAAAGATGCTTAAAGTATTATTGCAAGCATGACCAGTGATCGGATTTCTGGCCTCTCCTCTGTGTCCTACTGTTGCAAAGTTATACACCAGGTGATCAAACTTTTTAAGCTCCTACAATTCCCTTCTTTGTCTTTTTTTTTTTTTTTAAATATATCTTTCTACAGAAGAGGTCTCAGATTGAAAACTTGAGATCATGCACCATCACACCCATGGTTGCCCTCGTTAAGCTCCTGATGGCTGGTTCTGTAGGACAGTTGTCAGCTGTGAGCCGTCCACTCTCAGAAACACACACTGACAGTATCCCAATTATCAGCTGCCCCATCATCCTATGCACATGACTTAAATGTGATAGGAGGAAACAATGGGCTGCTGGGAGCTGAGGGCAAGGAAGGGACTGTGACATCAAGTGCAATCAGACCTTTTACCAATCATCACAGACCTCTGTGAGGTGCCAGGCCTGCCAGGGAACCACAGGAAAGCAGTAGGACTCTCTACAACATCCAAGGTGGTTCACAGCTCAGCCAGTTCACTGCATGCAAATATCTAATTACTACAGTTCCTCTTGATGCCTGGAATGGAAAGCTCCCCCATGTCAATTCCATCCCATTTTTGTAGCAAGTCTTTCTCTCCCTGAAAGCAGGCTCCTCTAACTTACCCCCCTAAGCCAAGAGTCAGCCCAACTGTCCAGGCTCTGCTTTTCCTGTCTACCTCCCTCCCTTCATCTGAGAGCCCTGAGCTGGGCACTCTCCGTTCCCCAGGCTGGTTCAGTGTCTGCTCAGTCACCTCAGCATGGACCACACTATCTTTCATACTAAGACTCAGCTCTGAGCTCCAGCTGACAGGGCTGATAGCACAGTGGCTTCTGCCAGGATCTGTCTCCTGCTTCCAACCATGTGCTCCGATGGTCAGAACTCACAGAGAAATGGGTGTAAATCATGAAGCCAACAGTCACCCTACTGACTCTTTAAAATAGAACACCGGAGAAACTCTCACTCTAAATTGGAGCTAATAAAGGTGACAGAGATTTTATGAATCACTTATTTCTTACATCCCTAATTAGCCTTCCCTTGCCCCATCCCTCATGCTTCCAATCCTCACTCAGCCAGTCCTGTATTATGGAGGATGACTGTAACAAATTCTATCCTCTGAAGCTAAGTGAAATATATTAATCACTTCCATTAGGCAGAGCCAACAGGTGCAAAGGCCTGATATGAATAAAGCAGGAGAAAGCTTATCTGCAGCAGGAGAAAGGATCCTTTAACTATCACGCTGTATCACCTCATACGAGGCCTAGTGGGGGGTGGGGAGAAACCATACTTACAAAGACACATGCTGCAGTTGTTGGGACCCTCACTTCTTTACTAGAACCCGGATGAGTATCCGCATTATCCTGGGGAACCGGAAAGGAAGAGACAGAGCGCCTCCTAAGAAGTAACATAAAGGAGAACATTAGACAAGACTACACAGGGCTAACTGTCCATCAAACTCAGAAGGGAGTCAAAGACCCTTTTAATCAATAGCTTCTTTTCCCTTCTAGACCCTTCGAACTACAGAATGATTGGCCATTCTCACTCAAATGACAACTTGGAAAACAGGCAGCACATACTAGTACTCTCCTGCTTGCTAGCTCATGGGCTCCAAAACTCAACACTGAGAAGCAACCTGAACAACTGTTTTCCAGTCAATAAACTACCGGAAACTTTCTCAGCATAATGTAACTGCTGGCTCAGAAGGAGCTCGCTGGCATTTTTGTGAAACAATTTAAAGATGTCTCTGTGCCCAGTCTCAATAATCCTCAGTGCACACTGTGGTCAAGGCGCAGTCGAACACATGCCAAGAAAGAGCAGTGAGAGTGCGGCTGCTGCACAGAGCTCAACCTAATGGCCCCTGCTCAGAGGGCTGGCGGCATCCTAAACATGCAAAGCGTCTTGGTTATTAGCACATGGACAGTGATGATCAGGGCAGTGAAGCGGGGATCAGCTTAATTATCAAAGACCCATACCCACATGCCGAGATAAGAGTCGATAATGTTTTCACCTGGCAGCATCAGAAGAAGAGTGATGTCCCAAAAGGGGAGACTCGGACAGACTAAAGGGTAAGGCCAGAGATCAGCACGCAGCAAGATTAAGAGAAAGGAAGTTGAGGAAAAAGAAAGAAGCTGAATGAAAAGCTGAAATTAAGGCATCTGTATATTCTGCACCACTGAAATTCTGGTGTACAATTAAAACAATGATAATAAATCATGTACATATACTTAGGTATATTTACATACATATCAACAAGGAAAGGTGAAGGTTTCTAACCTACCCAAAGATATTAGTGATAGAATCCAGAAGGCCTCCAGCAGGCTGCGAGAGTCGCTTACTAAAGAGGAGGGGAGGATAGGTTTAAACCTTATAAACATTTTGCCCAAATAATCAATCAATAAAAACAGTCCACAAAAATAGGTACCTTGGAGTATGTTTCCCATGAGTTCCCAAACCCCAGCCAAGAAACCCACCACCATATCCACCACCAGACAACAGTGGGAAGGTAGGAGGGAAAACCAGCCTTGAAGTTTTAAAAGAGGCAAGGCTCGCCTGGTTGGTGTCGCTAAATGGTTAGAGCAGGGGTGGGGAACTCTTTTTCTACCAAGGGCCATTTAAATATTTATAACATCATTCAGGCCATACAAAATTATCAACTTAAAAATTAGCTATGAAAAAAGCTCCTGCCCGGCTGGGCATGGCTCAGCGGTTGAGCATCCACCCAGGATCCAGGAGATTGGGGTTTGATTCCCAGTCGGGGCACATGCCCGGGTTGTGGGCTAGGCAGCCGATCAATGACTCTCTCATCATTGATGTTTCTATCTCTCTCACTCCCCCTCCTTTCCTCTCTCTGAAATCAATAAAGATATATTAAAAAAAAAAAAAAGCTCCTAGATTTATTGAATTTTGAGTCCTGCCTGTGGTTGCCTTGGCAGGGCCAGACCAAATGACTTCTCAGGCTGTATAGGGCCAAGGGCCGGACGGTCCCCATCCTTGGGTTAGAGTGTTGGCCCAGGCAATGAACGGTTGTGGCTTCGATTCCAGGTCAAGGGCACATACCTGGGTCCCAGGGTCGATCTCCAGCCCCAGTTGGGGTGCATGTGGGAGGCAACGGATCGATGTGTTTCTCTCATATTGATGTTTCTCCCTCCCTCCCCTCCCCTCCCTCCCTC